AAGCAGACGCCCAACGACTGAGCCACCCAGGCGCCCCTGATTCTAAGGTTTTTTTGATGGTGGCTGTTTATCACACTTTCTTTTTTAGCCTTTTGACTGTTCTCTAAACTCAATGTCCTTCCATTCCATCAAATAATTATTAAAGAAATGTACCTTAATTAAAGAAAAGTTACTGTATAACTTTGCTAGGAGGGGTTAGAAGGGTATTTGGTAAGAAAAATGAGAGTGTTTCAAGTACTGAAGGGCTGGGAACCATCCTTGCAACAGTAAGGATCTTCATTCGACTGAGAGTTTTGTTAAAGCAATAATAGCCACTGTGCTTTGAGGTCTAATGTGCTATAAACTTTTATATGCAGTAATTGATTGAATAATCAAAAGTAACATTATGGGATAGGTACAGTTGTTAACATCTCCATTTTATAGATGATGACACTGAGGCATAAATTGGTTACATAACTTGCACAAGCCAGCCGTGCATACCCAGCAGTCTGGCTGCTGAGGCCACATGCTTCCTTATCAGGACGGTCTAGTTATTTTTGATACGGTGTTGATCATTCATACACCTTGATTTTCTCCCCTTTGGAAGGCTAAGTTAACCCCTTAAAATTTTTTATTTTTGTGTGGTGCCATATTTTATGTAAATTATCATTTCGTCTTCACAACAACCCCTCAGTCTATGTATAATCTAACAGACAAGGAAGCTGAGCTAGCAAGCGCTGGCCTGGGGAATTTTAGCCAGGTCTCCTTTTTATGGTTAGTCTAGTCCATTCTCACTGTTTATCCTTCCCCAGCTGTGAGTCTTGTTGTTCGCTGTTCAGAGAAGCATTTGCTCAACCAGTGAAGACAAAGGCACAAAGTCAAAGAGACCTGAATTCCCTTCTGAGCACCTCTACTGGTTTTGCTGAGTGATATTTTTCAAGACATTTAGTGTGCTTAACTTTGTGTAGAACAATTTTAGTTCTACTCATTATTCAGCTTCTGTTGTTTTTCATTTTCTTCAAGAGAATAGTCAATATAATTGGCTTTTATGTTACTTCCAACAGTTCATGTACCAGAGAATTTGCAAATATAATATCACATCTAAGGCCACCAGGAATTTATAGGGAGAGAAAAGCATGGACTGTCAGATGGAGTTTTGTCTGATGCATGTTTTTTTTTTCCTGGTGTATGTGTACTTAGTATCTCCTCTGATTGACCTGCCTTTCTGATTTCTAACGTAGTTATTAGGGAGTTTCAGACCTTCCCTCTTCCCCTCCCACTGGGCTTCCTTTTCGAGGGGCTGAGTATAATGAGATGAAGACATGGGTAGCCATTTGGGAGGTAGAGACAATTAAGTCACTCTCTAGGCCTGATTTGAACTTCTGGGTCTTTTTGGTTTGTGGTCAGTTCCTTAACCTTGAGCTAAGAACTTCAGAAACATGTGGTGGTCTTTATTTCGGGTTTCTGTTTATTCTGCTTATAGCTGAGTTCTTACAATTGAAGTATATTAGTATCTCTGGTCTCTTGATTATCCCTTTTAAGTATTAATCTATCCCACTGCCAGACTCGCTTGTAGGGTAATGTAAATTTGATCAAGTGTCTGGGAGTTTTAGGCCACCCTTACCAGATGTCCAAATTATAGTCATGTGACTCGTTCTTCTTGGTCATGGTAATTGGAGGGAGAATAGGGGAATAAGGATATCAAAATGCATGAATAATTAAAAATATTCATTATTTTGTTCCCAGCTCCAACTTCCCCTTTTTACCTTTCACAGTAGTTTTTGTGGAGGGGAAGGAGGGGAGCAGAAAACAAATTTTGAATTTTGATTTAAATTTTCTTTCTACTTCTCTGTATTTAGTGTACTCTTTAA